TTCGGGTGTGCATGAAACTGCGAAGATCGACAAACCCGTCGACTTTTGATCTACTGGGAAGTTCCTCGGTCTGTATGGGGTACGTGCTTGCTCCAAGAGCTCATTGATGGGTGAAAATACTGCCCACGGAGGCAAAAGCGACAAAAACGCTGTCTGATTCCTGCCACAAGTATTTCGAGTTCGGGTGTCTGTGAACTGTCAAGCTCGACGAATCCGTCTTCTAACGATGTACAGCAAAGTTGCTTCAGCTGTGTGGGGTACGTGCATACTTGAAAAGCTCATTGAAGGGTGAAAATACTGCCCACGGAGGCAAAAGCGACAAAAGCTGTCTGATTCCTGCCACAAGTATTTCTATTTCGGGTGTGCATGAAACTGCGAAGATCGACAAACCCGTCGACTTTTGATCAACTGGGAAGCTCCTTGGGCTGTTTGGGGTACGTGCTTGCTCCAAAAGCTTATGAGTGGGTGAAAATACTCCCCATGAGAACAAAAGCGACAAAAACGGTCTGATTCTTGCCACAAGTATTTCGAGTTCGGGTGTCTGTGAACTGTCAAGCTCGACGAATCCGTCTTCTAACGATGTACAGCAAAGTTGCTTCAGCTGTGTGGGGTACGTGCATACTTGAAAAGCTCATTGAAGGGTGAAAATACTGCCCACGGAGGCAAAAGCGACAAAAGCTGTCTGATTCCTGCCACAAGTATTTCTATTTCGGGTGTGCATGAAACTGCGAAGATCGACAAACCCGTCGACTTATGATATACTGGGAAGCTCCTTGGGCTGTTTGGGGTACGTGCTTGCTCCAAAAGCTTATGAGTGGGTGAAAATACTCCCCATGAGAACAAAAGCGACAAAAACGGTCTGATTCTTGCCACAAGTATTTCGAGTTCGGGTGTCTGTGAACTGTCAAGCTCGACGAATCCGTCTTCTAACGATGTACAGCAAAGTTGCTTCAGCTGTGTGGGGTACATGCATACTCGAAAAGGTCATTGATGGGTGAAAATACTGCCCACGGAGGCAAAAGCGACAAAAACGGTCTGATTCCTGCCACAAGGTTTTCGAGTTCGGGTGTGTGTACCGTCAAGCTCGATGAATCCGTCTTCTAACGATGTACAGGAAAGTTGCTTCAGCTGTGTGGGGTACGTGCATACTCGAAAAGGTCATTGATGGGTGAAAATACTGCCCACGGAGGCAAAAGCGACAAAAACGGTCTGAATTCTGCCACAAGTATATCTAGTTCGGGTGTGTGTGAACTGTCAAGTTCGACGAATCCGTCTTCTAACGATGTACAGGAAAGTTGCTTCAGAGGTGTGGGGTACGTGCATACTCGAAAAGGTCATAGAAGGCTAAATATACTTCCCACGGACGCAAAAGCGACAAAAGGTCTTATTCCTGCCACAAAGTTTTCGAGTTCGGGTGTGTGTGAACTGTCAAGTTCGACGAATCCGTCTTCTAACGATGTACAGGAAAGTTGCTTCAGCTGTGTGGGGTACGTGCATACTCGAAAAGCTCATTGATGTCGGGAGAAGACGAATCCTTGAGAAGGCGACTGCCTTTCTTGAGGGCATCCATGGCTTCACACCAGCGCAACCATTGAGTCATGACGTATACCATCGCTTCATGCAACATTATCTTGCCCTGAAATGAAAGAAGGCACAACCTATGTAGGCTGCTCGAATGCCATCACGCCCTACAATATTGCTGGCTTTTACCATCAGCGTTGTCATGTGTCGATTTGGATCCAAGACGAATTCTCAACATGGACGAGACAAGGTTTTCTCCCAGCAATGCTCCCGGTGTGGTTGTCGCATATCAGATGCCCAAATCGGTATTCCTGACAGAGCCGACGATGTCATCTCATGGAACCATCGTTGCTTGTATTGGCACCGACAGGTACAAGATCCCACCACTATTTGTTATGCCTGGCGAACGTGTGTCGACAACGATGTGTGACAACCTTACGATCTCCGGTGCTACCGTCACAATTTCGATGCAAGAATGGACAAATTCCTTCATTTGCCGGAAGTGGCTGCCCATGCCGAGTGACTCAGTGCCCACTGACGTGGCGCGTCCCATTTTGTTGAATATCGATGGATGCTCGTCGCTTACTAGGTCCATATTGTGTAGGAAGCGAAGCGACTGGACATCCTGCTGCAGATTTTGCCTGCAAATTCTACTTACCCTTTCCAGCCACTAGGTGTCTCCACTTTCCTCTCCTTGAAGATTGCCATCCGATCTGAAATCGCCGACATATTGGAATGACATTGGAAGCAGCACCAAGCAGAAGACATTCTCCATTACCTGTGAAGTATGGGCCAACGCAACAAAGACGTCTACCATCGTGAACGGCTTTGCCTCGACCGGGTTGTTTCCTCTGTCGTTGGATGCCATGATGTATCGGATGTCCCCGTTCCAACCGCCGTTGGAGCGTGTAGGACAAGTGAAAGAAACTTGGCTCGAACGTAGCACCGCTGTTCGCAAGCTTATACTATTTCTACCCCCCAAATGCAACAAGAAAGGTCCAGTGTGAAAGACTATGTCGGTAAGTGGTATGTTTATCACAGCCGACTATCATAAACTCCTTGAAATCGTAGTAGTTTAGTTGTACTACATGTAGTACTGTTAACCAATGTGAACTTGATTTTGTTTCAGTTTGCGTTAATACTGTTGGTTAAAAATAGGAGTAGACATCCAAGTAACTGCTTCGTAGTGAATGTGGCGTCATCACCAAGGAGAATTATCGTCCTTATAGCGTGTCAAGTCAAAGACATGACTACATCAACTGATACAAATACCTAACCTCAAAAGTACATCTAATAATGCGCCCATGTTAATGCTCCGTACTCCAACGATGTCCAATTGACACGAAGCAAAAATTGCAGTACCGGTCCTTGGGAATACGACTTTTTCCCTTGGTGGTACACATAAATACACTGTAATACTTCATACATTTCCTAAACACAGAATACTTTGAAATTAGATATTTTGGCAGAATTCCACATGCCAGGGATTGGGGAAATTCAATACATTACGCAAGTCTAAATGTGTGCTGATATGATGACTGGTGTCCTGTGCAAGAAGGCTTACTTTGAACATTCATACCGCTTGGACTCACTATTTAAAATGATATTATTTGAACCTCAATGAATGAGCATAATCGTGCCGTTGCTTTGATATATATATAAAAAATATGTGCCATCTCTTAACATGCGCTCTATGACGAACGACCGGTGCCCTACGTTACATAGGACGCAGTAATTCGCTAAAATAATGAATTCGACAAATTTTGGATCCAGATAAAGATTTTTCCACTTCTTGCCAATTTGTTAGAAATTTCCAAAATATCGAAGAGACTCACACTGACAATGAAATCAAGTGAAAAGCGTGGGTACGGGACATACGGATATCACTGTCAAGTAACGTTAGTAAGATACAGAACAGAACAGTACTGTCGTGAAACCGCCATAGTGTACACGTTTGTGATCTTTCAAGTCGCAATGAACAACGACGGCATGGATGAGAGTGTGCTGGTGTCAAACTTTCGGAACGAAATGGCCGAGATATTATCTATCATTCGAGAATTAAAGTGCCGGAAGTATGGCGAAATCGACAAGGACGATGACTCTGGACAAGACTGCGAAATTGGTTGCTTTGGCTTGAGCAGTCACCGGCTGCAACGCCTGAATCGTCAACTACGAGAGCAGCTTTCATTCTCGTCAGCCGTGGAGCTGCTTGTTCTATTTGGAGACGCCTTGATTCACACTCAAGAATACACTGCCAGCAAGTCATATTACCACGACGCTTTGGAGAGCTTTGAAGGTCCAACAACAACCAAGCGGTCGTTGCAAGATCAAGAAATGTATGTCCGTGCAGCCTTCGGACACGCCCTAAGTAGAGTACGTTTACTCAAGGCGACCGATCCCACCGTGTTGTACCCTTCCACCCTTGGCCAACTCGTTAGCATACTGCACAGCATGGAGGCAACACTCCGACTCGCGACGACGTTAGCCCTTGACCCGAAAGTTCAAAACGATGGTGCATTGCACTCCAAGTGCGTCGCGCACGTCCTGAACGGCACAGTGCACCTTATGGGTGTATGCACACCTATGAAAGCTCTTGGGTTTGAAGCGAACGTGCTCCCATTTCTAAAGTTCGCCATCCTAGTCCTCGACAACATCATCCAGCTTTGCACAGTCAAGTATTGCTTGTGGCGAACCCAAATTTATGTGGCGATCGCCGAGTGCTATGACGGTACGTTGCTCTCGTGTAATCCATCCCCACATAATTTACTAATACTCGACGTGTAGCGTTGGCGCGGAAGCATGTTCTGAAACGAGACCGCCTTTGGAAGTCGGCGCTTTTGGCCATTGACATGGGTACGTCCCGCGTGGCACAGATACGAAAAGAAGAAGAACTAGATCCACCAGTGGCTGAGGGAACACTTCGAGTCGTCGCTCAGGCGGACGACAGCCTGCAACGGACTCGTTTCCTCGTGCAAAAGTTCATGAAAGCAGCTGCTGCGGTCACCCACCCACCCGCTGCAGGTACAGCTGGAACGCCACCCCAGTCCCAGCTTTTGATTTCGCTGTCAAGAGATGACGTTCAGACCGCGTTTCCAAACTCCGTGTCGCGGATTCGGACGATCTTGGTCAGCTTGAAAACGCTGTGGAAGCCGCAATGGACGCTCAATTTACTCCACGACTTCGAAGACAAGGCGCCGTTTCTTGTCAGTGCCACCGATATCGATGGCATCATCACGTACATGTCGTCGATTGTGGCCGCCGACCCGACCTCCGTCGACGGGCTGCACAATTGCGTGCTGAAGCTGTTGTTTCGCTTACGAAAATGGACGCCATTTGTGGCCATGTACAAATCGCGACTGGAAACGACGCAGGACAGCATCATCGACGCGATTGAAGTGGAGCTACTGTATGCGTTGTACGAATTGATCGAAGACCCAGCAGACCGCATGCGACTGTTCAAGGTGGCGTCCGGCTTGCGCCTCGCATGCGAAAGCCGCGAGATGTGTGCGTTGAGATACGATGTGCTCGTAGAAGTCATGTTGTACCTGTGGCATGTTTACGCGTCCCCTATGCTCGAGTCCATGAACAAGGCCCTCTTTGGCCAAGAAAAGAGCGACGCTGGCGATGCCATCCGTTTGTTGCTAGCGCTCCAAGTGTCATCGCATGCGTTGAATTTTGACGACATCGTGTGGAGGGCCAACCTGGCGCTGCATTTGGTCAACCTGTTGAACCAACAGCACCGACTTCGACTGGCGATTCAAATTCTTCGTGTGACACAAGACGTACTATCCACTGTGCGTGATGCCATCGTGAATATCGACCTACATGCTGTCCTCGCAGACTCAACGAATGGCTTGCAGCAGCTCCACCATGTTGCGACCAAAGCAGTGCCGTTTATCGCCAATTCCAAGGATGTGTTACCATCACCTGGGAGTCTTCGAGGGACGACTTTCCAACAAACGAGCCTCAACCTGACGTTGGCAGCAATCCAAACCGAAGTGGGATTTCTCTTGTACGACATGGAATTGCAATGCGCCGCGTCCGTACCCGACGGCACGACGATGACTGCAGTCGCGAAACGCCTCGCAGTCGAATGCAATCAAAATGGCTACATGCGCGGCCTGCTGTCCGTCCAATTAGCTCAACGCAAGTCAAAGCGCGGTACAGCCTTAATTGAAGGACGTGTAGCTCATTTGGTCAAGTGTAGGGGAACAAGAGAGTTTGTTGCGAGAAGCGTTGCAGTGTTTCGACACCATTCAACAGCAAGAAATTGATGTCCAAGGCGAAACCGACGTGCTATCGCCCAACTCTCTCAGGCCACTCGCCCCCCTTCTCGTGTCTCGTGCTTCGACATTTGTGACGATTGAAATATTGCCCCACAACCCCCCCCGAGGCGTCCAAGTTGCGTACTATTGCGCGTACGCCAAGGGGACTGGAGCTGGCACGGATGTGTCTCTCAATAACATGGAGTACCCAGGAACAGGGAGCCTGATCCAGCCCAATCCTCGTCGCACATTGGTAGAGAAATTGCAGGGGAATTCCAGCACCAACTCTTTCTGCCTGTAGGCAACGATTTCTGGCCTCCTGCCCAACGAGAGTTACGTGTTTGCGGTAGCAGCGTATGATAAGAACGACCAAGTGATCGAAGGCATCGGTGCCACGTCGTGTCCAATCATCACCCTGAATCCGTTGGTGCTGTCTATGTGCTACGGCATCTTAGCCACAGTCGCGGTCCAGATGAAGCACACGTACAAACATACAATCGAGAAATGAATATACGATTAACACTATTCCCAGGATCATTGCCACAAAAGCCGCGTCGACGGTGTACACGGAGTTAGTTTCTACGGCAGGGGGTGATCGAGACAAATGGCGGGTCAGTCCGTTGTTCGCACACGCGCTCAACATTCAACGAATCAACAAACAACCCGCCAGTGGCGTCATAACGCAATATCCCATGCAGGTGCGTACGGTGCTATTCATCAAAATCGGCCGATTTAGGGTTGTGGTGCTCAGGTGTTGCATGTCTTTTTTGGTGCCATTTCAATCTTGATTGATGCGGAAGTGGAGAAACAACAAGCTTCTGCGGCAGACGCTGGTCGACATACGTTGCTCTCTGCTGTGACCAAGGCCCAAATGACTGATGCAATTGGAAAATGCATGATTGCCCTGGAAGTCGCGTGCTTGACGGGCCAACATGAGTACATATGCACAATCACGCACAAGATGTACCAGCTGATGGTTCCACTCCTGAGCCAAGTCAAACCAGGCAGACTCCTCTTGCAACCCTTGTGCATGATGATCCAGGTTCGATGGTTCATTGATCATATTTGGCAAAATCTCACACATTCAACTATATTATAGAGCCTTCAAATCATCCCCGCCGAGAAATGGGACGACGGCATCTACGAAGTTTACATGTGTGCAAGCTACGAAATTCTTAAGATCACGGCAGACAAGAAGGAAGCTAAAGTTGCGCAACAAACGCTAAAGCTGGGACAGGCTGCGTCGACGCCTTACAGTGATTACGTGATTGCTCCATTTCATGCGCCATGCAAGGAAGCTGCTGCTTTGCGAGACGCCATCTTTTTATCTCGACCGTGGAGCACGGCATTGGACATGACCAACGAACAACGACACGATGGCGATGTGGACAAAAAGAAGCAAACTCCGCGGGACGACAAAGCTCCAAGTAATCAAAGTCGTATCGAAGAGGCGTTGCAATCCAGCAACGTGTCGACAGGAAAAGCCATATCAGAATTGAAGGCCCATTTTTCAAGTACGAACTGATGGATACGTACTTCTACCTAATGCTAGACTTGACTCGTAGGCCACAAGAGTTTCATGGCATATTCGTGCCGTGTGGTCAAACTGGGCATTGTGCACGGCGAACGGAATGCTGGCGACTGGCTTAAAGACCTTCGGTGGCACTCCACCCTTGCATTCACCCCCGAAGCCAGTCAAGTGCTCAAGCAGCTCGGGGCAGCCCATCTCCACGTCGACACGCCCACCGTAGATTCCACCACGAGCGAAGAAAAGCACGGCGCTGACGAACCAACGCCTTTTGATGTATCCAACCGAGAAGTGTACTTGTGGACCGGTGAATATTTTTACCTCATGGGCTTGGCTCAGGTATGTCCTTTTCACATGTCGAGTTTGTTCGAATGGCTTTCAATAGTATACTGGCATCGCTCCCGTCAACAGCGGCAGCCCCCTCGAAGGACCAGACCACGACATTTCATGGCGATACTTTGCCACGCACCCCCAGCCTTTGACCGAGCTGGAGCCACCTACTGAAGAAGAACGCGACCCGAAGGTCGACAGTGTCTTGACCAACGTTGCCGTCGCGAGCCAACTGTTTTATCACGCCCGCGCATGGGCCAATCTGCAAGCCTGCGCTCAAACTGTGTGGAATCTGCTGTGGGCCAAGTGGATGTCCCCTGCATCGTTCAAGCGATTGTACGACTGGCGTTCCTTGTACATCGTGTCTATGAGGTTAATGGACATGCTGGATGTCGTGCGCAACGACATCGCCTTTGACGACAGCGACGTCTTGTCGAGGGATACCAACGTGGACGGCATGGAGCGATTCCAACCAACCACTGGAACCACCAGTAGTCACGCGGAAGACGACGATATTGACATTCCGTGGGTGGTCAAGTTTGCAACGTATACCATTCAGGTACACAATATTCATATTGACACAATTAACTCCGTTGTTGTTGTAGGTCTTGTGCACCGCCGGCGAATGGGAGCATTTGGTGCTGTTGGGAAAACGAGTGTACGATTTAACTGGAAGCGACCAATCCGAGCCAGTGTTGCCGTGGGTCGTGTATGCGCAGAGTCAGCGATGTAACCAGCACGACGTCGTGGTTGCGACGGCGACAGACGACCTGGCGCAGTTCATCAAGACGTTTGACGAGTTGCAGTCCAAGAAAAAGAAGAAGAAGAGTCGACTTGTGGTGCACGAAGTGGTCACCGAAGACGAGCAAGTGTTTCGAGACGAGTGTGTGCTTAAGGAGAAAGCACTGACCGGATTGACAGAAGCCCAAGCGACCCTGAAAAGCCGACTGGCGCTGATCAAAACTTGGCTCGACCACGCGACCCGCTCCAAGAATATGTGCTTGCAGGCTCTGCAGCGAACACAAAAGGCCGTGACCAAGCAGTACCTTTGCCATGAGAAAGCCGCCGATGTCTTGGCTAGCTTCAAGAGCACCATTTCGCTCTGCCGTCAAAAACGAGCGACGCTGATGCTGGTGCAGGCCCTGCAAGAACAAGGGGACTTCTTGTTTGCCGAGAACGACATTGCAGGTGCGACCAAGTCGTGGAACGACGGCATCGACGCAGTGTTTGGGACGTTGGCCACCACTGCCAACTGGCGCTCGATCGTTCCACAGTCTAATCTTCGTGTGGACGGGGAAAACCTCTGGGCTATTCTCATGTGCTGCAATATGCTGGGCAAGCTGACGTGGATTTGTCTCCAAGACCAGTTGAATCAACGCCTCGAGTACGCGCTCATGGGCAGCGCTGTGTTCTGCAAGCTGTTCACGTGCTCGTTGCAGCACCCGAATGTGGACAACCTGCACACGTTTTCAAGCTTCTCGATCTACCCTGCATTCACAAGTATGGCCCACAAGCCACTGCGACAGGTCCAACCCGCGAGCCTCCTGCTCATGTCAACCACGATGATTGAAACGCTTTTAACCAACGGGAAACATGCCCAGGCCTTGCCTCTGGCGTGCGCGATGGAGTACTTTGCCAGTCGCCATTTCCACGATGCCCAGGGAGTCATGCAAGCCAAGCGCATGAAGTTCGACGCGTGCGTGGGTATTGGGCATATGGGCCAGGCCGTGGTCATCCTGAGCGACCTGATCAACCATTCGATGTCATTGGATGAATCCAAACGCATCGGAGACCCGGCCAACGAACTGCTGCACAAGTGGCTGTTGGAGTTTTCCGTGTCGAAGATCGTCGGGGACGTGAAACTGGGAGCGAGGTTCGCGCATTTGCTGGTGCTGTCAGTGTTGCGGTGGATGGTTGATCTTGGTTTCAACGAAGGCAACGCAAGTCCCCAAGGCATTGCGTTGAAACATATCGCCAACCAAGTGGCGTCCCAACTGCAGGTACTTGATATATCCAAAGTACATTGTCGTAACGAGGCCATAGCTGAGTGCGACCGGTTTGCCCCTCGCGCCACAACACGGTGAGGAAGTGCATTTGCCGCAGAAAGATAAAAGCACGCCTCGGGAGCCAGAGTCCGCACGAAACGCTGTCCCCCCAGGCGAGAAATTGCACCCGTTGGACCAAATGAAAATCTCCGTCGAGTGCGCCCTGTTGCAGTCCGTGCTGGCGTTGCACGAAGGCTTGGCAGACACGGCTCGTACTCTTGTTCAAAACGCGATGAAGGTGTACCGAGACGGCTCCAAGGTTCCAGTGGACGACATGCACTTTGACTGTGTTTCGAGTGACCTCGGGGCGCTGTTTTGGCTCCGGTGTCGAGTGCAGTGGATCAAGTGCGACTTGATGCAAGGACACGTCAAGGACGCCATCACGTTGTGTGAAGTGGCCTCCCTCGAAGCTGTGAACGCAAACGAAGCGAAATTCCAGCGGGAGATTGCATATCTGCGTTTCCAAGCCCTCGTTTTGGAAGGATGTCGAGGGGATGCGGAAGCCATTGGGCTGGAGTGGCTCGCAAACGATGACGCGCACTCGCCGACAACAACGCGCGTGGAAGTGCTGTTGTTGCTGAGCCATATTTCGAAAACTAAGGCCTTGTCGACCCCTAACCAAGCCGTTCATTTGAATGCTAGTGCGACGTATTTAATGGATGCCATGGCTGTCATGAACGCCATTACCCACGAACACGGTACGAATCCTCTTCAGCATGTTTGTGTTTCATTTAACATTTAACATTTAACATTTAGGATGGATTGGGCTGCATTCTGCGTCGTCCCAACAAGCCCTTGTGAATGTTTACCAGCCACAGATTGCCCTGTACATCACCGTAAAAGCCCACACGGTGTCTCGACTGCTCGAGTTGTATGATTTCCACTTTGAGTCGACCGAATCCTTGGGTATCCTTCAAGCCCACGTGGAGGTATACGCCTTGACTGCGCATTCTCCATCGTATAACAACTCAACGATACTTCTAGGACGGACTGCGTGCCCTGGACCACGTACCCCTTCCCGATCCGAAACTGAAAGCCTCCCTGCTGTTCTTTAACGGATGCGTCCTGCGTCGAAAGAACAAGGTGTCTCAAGACTGCGTACCTCCTTTGCTCGAGGCCATGCAACTTTGGCTCAAGGACGGAGGCCACCCTCGAAAACTCATGCATCGGGCGTGCATGGAGCTCGTTCAAGTGTACGGCGAGACGAACAACATGAACGAAGACGACAAGGCGCGACAGGCCCAGGCCGCGTTTCATTACTTGGGGATGGCCTGCAAGCTGCAAGAGCAGCTCCATGTGCTGTGGCACACAACGCAACTGCATGTCGTCAGCGCCACTGGCTTAGACAAGTTATCGGCCCCATTGCAACACGAAATCTTGTCCGCTGCGAAGGGGCTGAACCAGCCAAGCAGCACCACATTGGACCACCTTGGCTTTTTGGTCTTGCCGTATTTTTTGTCGATGCAGCGGGAACTCGACATCGTGTACGACCAAGGACTGGCCAGTGCCATGCAACACACGGCGGCGTCGGTACACTTGTTCTTGTCTCAGAACCACATGCTGTATTCCAAGCATTGCTTCCAGTCCCTTACCTCACCCCCAAAGGAAGACCCTGAAATTCCAGGGGGGTTGATTTGTGTGCAATGGGTCAAGTGCTCGTCGGGCGAAGTGGCCATGTATTACGCGCTTGGAACCGCCACCAATACCAGTGACCCACGGTTCACAGAATCCCCCATTTTGAGCCGAAAGGTATTTATGATGCAATTCGTCAATGTGTTTATGCCAACTTGACCCGCTGATTTCGTTTGTTGTAGTTGAATTTGCAATCCAACGGCGTTCAAAAGTTGAAATCAGAGGTCACCCGTATTCGACTGCTTCTCCAGGACGACAAAGTTGGACCAGTGCAAACCCAATTCGACGAAATGCTTGTGGCGTTGCACTCCTACTTTCAAGCCAAAGACTCAGCGCCTGCGCTGCAAATTCCATGCGCCCTGGCCGAAATCGCCTTGATCGAGCGATTGCTCGACACAACCCATGGATTGAATGCTACGCACAACGCCCTCTGTTATTTTCTCCGGAATGCTCTGAATTCTTAGCTTTTAAGACATGAATACACTCACTATGTGTACTGCAGATTGTACTGTATTGGTGGTTGTGTTCGAAGTTCAAAATCACCGTGCAAATTTGAAACCAACTAGCTATGCTCATTTTGAACTTGACATACAATAGCCAAAAACCAAGTGGACATCAACTTGCACAACTTGTCCGACTACGGGACGTGCTGTTGCATCAGATACTCGGGCTGACTGAATTGCTTCAATATGCGAAACGGCACGGAGATTCGAAACCACGACAGTACCGCCCGCTAATTCGGGCGGGCCAAGCAGCAACCAAATCATCCATAGAGCTCTCGTCGTGCCCACCACCCCCAGCAACCGTGTAGCCGTTGCATGTTGTTATGGCCATATTGAACTAGTCTCGCGTCGGCTATACACTCCAGTCGATGGCATGCTGGATATATTACGCATCTATATTGCATCCACTCCTTGGAAACGATTTCTTCACGACGCCTTCAACACGAATGGCAAGCATGTGTTTATTACCTACTGCTGAAACTCGCACAAGTGGACGTCCACCCCCTCGTCAATCCCATTGTTTGACCCGTTGGCCGTCAAGAAAAACTAAGCCTCGACCAACACTGCCGTCGACATCCTAGCGGCCGACTTGCGACGAAACGGGATGGAGAAGCGGCGACCCATAGCCGCCGCCGTCGCCGCCCTCCGAAACCAACCAAAGAGCTACAGTACTCGGTCATGACGTGCACATGCTACTGGTAATCTCGTCTTTTCAAAGCTCCAGCGGCGACCGCTCGATCGGTACGCCGCCAACGGCGCCGTGGACATGGAGGCGATACAGCGCAACATGCAGTGGGATGAATGTTACACGCAGTGGGGCGCTGCGGGGTGAAATCGCGTGCGGGGCCGACTGGCTGGATGCCGCCACGTCCGCCCTCACGCGGATTTCTCCCTCACAGGAGAGGCGTTCAAGAGGCTCGTAGAGTACACCGTGTCGTGGACGAACGACCAAGACCACGGCATGAACGACGTCGTGACGGTCCGAAACTCGTGTCTGACGTTATCTATCCCGATCAAGCACGTGGAGCAAAGCACATGAACTGGCTTGTCAACCAGCGTGGTTGCATCGTTTGGCGTGTGGAGCGTTTTTTACTAGGCGTTGGACGTGTTTGTTATTCTTACAGTATTCCAGCCGCGACATGGACCTACTTTGGCGGTACGCGACCAGCCAAACTCAGTCGACAGTGATGCGCCATGCTCTCTTGGACCTCACTGGGCTGCTGAATGGATGATGATCGCCGATTGGATCGGCGGGGCCAGGGAGGCGGTGCGCTTCGAAGATGACAATGTCTCGGCAATCGCCATTCCGTTCCGGCCAGACCCCTCATGTCCCCTCGCCGTTCTCACGGTAATACTCAGCACTGTCCCCACCACGTTGACGAACTTTTTTGAATATATGGACAGAGTTTCTGGTGGTTCCTCGAACGATGTAGGCTACGATAGTCACCGCGGGGGAATCACTGAGGCAAACACGCGCCCACTGCGACGTACTCATCATGTTTACGATGTACCACACGCGACACGTCGTCACTCTCCCGTCGGCCCTCGTATGAACGAGTTCCGTGGTGCTGGAAAGATAGGTGCCGATTCGCCCCACCGCCACCTTGGATCGACTATGTTCGAGTTGCTATATGGACATGCAGAAGGATTGGGTATAGCGTCGTGGTAATCGGAAACTCCGTGCGGCCAGTGACGCTGGGTGTGCTGCAAAGGGTGTATTGTGCTGTCCTGGCTACTGGTGGATGCGCGGTCAAGGATCGTGCCGACTTCGTCGTCGTTCGGAGTGATGGCGGCGACTTGTTACGTCCGTGATGGTGCCGTCGATAGTGTACGAATGGTTTGGCATTGAGTTCCACCTATGACCGCACGATGTGTGTGATCAGCGGGTTTATTCCTACGTGTACAATTTCTCGGGACGTAGTTTGTTCAAGGTGCTGTTGTGGCAATCTTTGCCTTTCCAGGATGGCCTTAAGAAGAACGAGCCCCCAACCCTACACGTGGAACCCCCACCAACGACCGACGCTACCCGACGCTGTGCATGGGCATGTCCACGTTTCACCCCTTGGCAGCGCTCGTCCCCCAAGCGCAACCAGATCTCGTCGACATACAAATGCAATCATGCAGTTCGTTCAAACCGACGGCGTCGTCGAGTTGCTGCGACATAACTTGATTGATCCAATGAAAGGCGCCGAGAGGACCCGAAGTCGTGTCGTTATGTGGCGACAGGGGGACTCCCTCAAGGCAATTCCGCGCGTGTACCCGACGCATTTCAACCGAGCGAGCTGGAAATCCCAACGAACATCGCATCGTATACAAGTACACGACGAGCGTCACGCTCGTCACGACCGCCAACCCGCCGCCGTACATGTGTTCGAGCAACGGGGAGGTCGAAGGCGCCAACTGTTTGCCATCAGTCGCGAGGCGGGGGTGGTGTGGGTCGGAGGCCTCCAGAGTTTTCTTCGAAGTGTCGTGGCCGTCGCGCTGCTCTCGCCAGCTACGCTCAAGCGAGGGCTCCTCGGCGCATTCACGACCCTGAAAACACCGTCGCCCCCACGGGCATCCACGTGCTCCTTTCGGTGCTCGCAGGTCTGGAGATTTCCTGGCTCGAGACTATTCTCGGCGATGTTGGTATATCCATCACGCGCGATCACACGACCGCCGACAAGGCGTACATGTTCATGATTACGTTCGTGATAGAGGGGCTTTTGGCGATGGGAACGCCCGTGAAGCCGTCGCTGGTGTTGGTTTGGTCGTGCGAGGTCACGCAGGGGGACTTCGAGTACTGTGTCAAGGAGGCACGGTCACCATCGGCAGCGACAGCTGGTTCGTCTTGCCCCCCATGATATGTTTCTGTACCCAACGCGTGTTCCACCCCACCTTTAAGCTGCCCCCGCACCATTTGTCGCGTCGGCGCTCTACACTTGTACCGAAAAGGTTCCATGGGTGTTTGCCTACGTTTTGTTCCTGGACAAAGCGTCCGCGTTCATGTATGGCCTCGTGTACGTGGAAATGTCATTTACATCTTAGATATCAAGACGTGGCGGATGGTTACCATCTCCATCGACCGAAGACCGAGTCATTTGAGTCTGGACGACCGAGATTAACCGCGCATCGACGCTGCGATTCCGTTGTTGGAGTGATAACATCGGTCTCTCGCATCGAAGTGGTGGTGTGCATCATAATATGATAGGGTCATCATAGTCGGTAGCATCCAGTGCAACACCAACAAACATGCTTGATACAGTACTATTAATATTACTCGATGGTTTGAAAGGATTATCAACAACACATACGTCCATGTTGACTTGGCAACTGGAGCCTTCCCTTGAGCAACAGCCCCTGTGCCACTTGCGGACAGACGAATCGGACTGCACGAGGTTGTCGAACTCGGACTGGACAAACTGCGTGAGCACGTCGTCCAAGTAGGCGGCGTTCGACCCGACAAAGCACTCGCACCCACACTGAGCGATGGATAAATTGAGGGCGCTCCAAAAGCGCAGCGTGGAGCTGTCGGCGTTGCTCATAATTTCTATAGGTGCTCGTGGAAAGTCGGTGAAGTACGTCTGCGCGTACACTTTGAGTGCTGGGTCGTCGGCCTGCAGAGTTGACGCACGGATGATGATGGTGGACGCTTCCACGATCAAAATTAAGTGCGTGAGCACAGTCGGCGGCAGCGCAGTATTGTCATCACCATGACATTCCATCCACAAGCCAAGTAGTGGTGGAAGCAACGCTAGCGCCTTCGCAGGCCACGACTGGTCTTGCTCTGAAGTGCCTTTGACCGGTTCTCGGTGGGAACTCCACCCCACTACTTGCGAGCGAGAGACGAGTACCTACGATGTGCTGCTGGTCAAGTTCGGCTCGTTTTTTGAAAAGGCCGTGATTGCAATGAGCTACTACTATTGTGCTTTTCATGTAGTTTGC